TTTCTTGTTCTGACTTCCTCTTCAAGGCTAAGTTGATCTTTGCCATTTAAAAAAGGAGAGATGTTTAAGGTTGTGTTAGCGGGGAGGTCATCCTCAATGTCAAAACCCCGGTCGGCCATAACTTGATCACCCGGCTCGAGCAGATTAAGGATCCCACAGTCCTTTGTTAGTTTTTTGTCACTGGTTCGACCAGCATACAAACTGGAGACAAAACTAGGGTACCCATTTGGGGACATACCAAGCAAACATTTCGCAGTATTATGGTTTTTGTATGACGAAAAAGTGGCAGATTGGCTCCTGCATGATGACGGCATTTCAATCATTATTTCTGTACAATCGATAATGACTCTAGTTTGTGGAAAGTTTTCCTTGAAACACAAAGGCATGTTTTGATCAATGCATTCTCTTGTGGGCCAAATAGGGAGTGCACGTAGTCGCTGATTAAGAAATGTCAGCCAAGTAATCCAAATTCGGGATACATGCATACACGATATGCCAAATCTGTGTGCTAGATCTTGTTGCAGGATACCACAACGCAATCTAGCCAACACCATAAATAGCTCTTGCTCTGGCGAGGTGGACCTTTTTTTGCCACACTTTTTCTGTTTAGCTGTGGTTATTTTACCAGTATTTGACCCATAGTAAATCAAACTAGTGCATGCTGGTGACAAGTAATCAAAAAAAAATTTGAATGTTGCATAATCTGGGAAACCGGTATAAAATCGAAAATCACTATCACTCCCAATAAATCTTTCCAATCGAAATAAGTATTGCTGTGATGACATTTTATAAGCCTCAAGATCTTTTTCAAGGGATGTACATTTGGATTCGAGTTGTTTAACTTGCTCTTTTAATTCAGCATTCTCAGTTAGCATGTCATGCTCCGATGTTGTATTGCCATGTTGACTAAAGTTAGATGTAATTAGCTCATCTGTCAAAGAACTAATGTTTGTGTTTTCAGTTGCCATGTAATCTACAGTTGCCATGTTATCTTCAGTTGCCATGTTATCTTTAGGTGTTATCATATTGCTGCATTAAAAAATATCCTCGAAAGAAGTGTCGTGAGGCTCATCTGGTAAGGGGCTATCAGGCTTTCGCAACACTCTCTCTCTCTCTTGGTTGATTACTTCCACAGTTCGTAAATATGGTTGGACCATTGTTAATGTACTTCTTTTTTCCGTCAGGAAAATGTGCTGAGCACACCCTGTAATAATGCTTTATTTCCAACAACCCCTTTGTTTTTAAAACTTTATGCCATTTCTTTTTTAGTTTCTCATCATTAGGCATTGAGTAAAACGAAAGCTCAGGATTTCGTAGGCTATTATTTAGACACTGTGGAACACAACAGTTTTTCCCTCCACAAGTTTTCTTTATTTTTTTTGTTCCAGAAAACTCTGTGCATTGGTCTGCATCCATCGAGGTGCAAGGATTGTCTTCCATTTATACTTACTAGTTTATTAATTTAGAACTGGTTATATTTAATAAAATTTAACTAACACTAAAATATTTATAATTTTATATACAATATTTACAAATATGATATTTTAAAATTTATTTCTAAATTATATTTATTAAAAACAATTTGTTAAAGCTAAATTATATTACCTATAGTCCTACTAAATGAATAAACAATTTAACAATACGAAACTTAATTTTTAGATAGGAAATTTATGGTTTAGCACAGGCTAAAAATTACTTAGTATTGATATTAATTTCAAGTGATACCAATGAGCTTTAGGAAGACAAAAACCAGAGCAGCCTCGAAGGATAAACAGAACCAAAAACAGCAGTAAAATATCGAGCAAGTATGACTTTAGTGTATTTTAAACAAAACATAATTCAAGCGGCTCATTTTCGCGCCAAAACTGCTCAAGTTTAAAGGCCAGTCGGCCATGTTAATTTCGAAAACAATCTATTAAATATGTATCAAAGTAAACCTCTCAGGGCTACAAGATCAGACGTTTAAGAGTACAACTAATACGAAATAGGGGTAGAAAAAACTCCCGGAAATAGCCACAGACTAAAAGAATTTGCTAAAATATCATGCAGAAGGACACTCACCTCAAAACAGGACAGGAGACATTGTGAAGAGAATGTTTTTCTCAAAATATGCCCACTCCTTCAATCGATATGAAATGCCTTTTCATGGCCATCACTGCGGCGATTTTGCTCATTTTTTCCACAAATGTCGTCGAAAGTAACCCCGTCAAAAATACGTCGTTGAGGTGGTTATTTGCCACACATAAACAAGTGAAAATATTGAATTCTGACACTCAATAAAATTTTCGCAACATGGCGACCATTTCGAACATGAAGAATGCAAAAGATACCCAACTCCCAGATGCATTGCGGCCGCCGCGAGCTATAAGGTTAAAGGTCCATTGACGAAAAACTCTCATGGAAGTATCATATAGCGTATATTTGTTCTAGATTGGCTCGCAATATTGGTATTTTTTACAAATTAAGACATTATATGACTTTAGCTCAACTTAAACAACCATATTACAGCCTTATTCACCAGTATATATCATATGCCATATTGGCATGGGGAAGTACCTATAAAACACAAATAAAAAAGTTCAAATAAAACAGAATACAGTAATAAGGATTATATTCTTTGCTATAACATATGGACAGAATACAGAAAGTGCCTTTCCGTTTATGAGATTATTAGATATTCTCGATGTCGAATCACTATATAAATTGCAAATTCTTAAGTTTGCTTATTTATGGCAAAGAAATGAATTACCGGATATTTTTGATGAGTATTTTCAGTTTGCTTGTGATGTTCATTCATATAATACGAGGTATGCCACCACCAGAAAGAAATTTTATAAACCGAACATTGGAAAACAGTCCATATCTTCCATAGCGGTTGATTTCTGGCAAGAGTTACCTTGTCTCCTAAAAGATCTCCCACATTTTTCGTTTTCAAGAAAAGTAAAACAATTTTTGCTAAAATGAATTAAGAAAAATATAGTAATTAGGCTATTGACTGCCAAAGTTTGTTTTTGTATTGTCTGTGTGTGTGTTGTATTTTGTGTCGCTGCAATAATGTTATTATCTTACTATAGCTGGAGCTAACTAGAAAACTTTAGTTTACTTAGCTTCCAGTCATCTTAACAAATATTTTATCTTCTTTCTCTTTGAATGAATATATATCTGGACTATCAAAATATCAATTGTAATTAACTGAGGTGAATAAATTATTATTGTATTGTGTATTGTACTTGCAGAGCCCAGCACACCAGCAATGCCTCAAAGCAGAACGATTAAAGTAACTTTCAAGTGTAGAAAAATCTCAGTCTGTGCAATTGATGAAAATGGTCAACTCACAACGACAGCAACTAGCCAATAAGATTGGATCGTTAATAATTCATGTCTATAATGATGCAAAATGCTTAACATTCTCCGCCTTTTCCTGGCCGTCTAGGGTAATTGCTGCAAAAATGGCTCATGAATTTGATTGCAATAAGCCATTTAAATCGTACAGTCGAATTTCGACCTGCAATATATTAGACCACCAATTGTGCAGGAACTTTTACGGACTATAGTGTCTGCTGATTTGCCAAGAATCAAGAAGGAAATTGATTCATGCATTGCTGCATCTTTTCGTTGTGATGCATCTATGGACCAAACACAAAAGGATAATGAATACAGGCTCCTTAACATGATAAAGAAAGATGGGAAACAAGAAAGATGGGAAACATCTGAAATTTATAGGTATTGGGCATGTGACAGAGCCTGGTGCAGCTGGTCATCTTCAGGCACTTAAAATGGGTGCAAATGATACTGTTGGCTTTGACGAAGTCCTCAAAGTAGTTAATCATCTATCGACAGATGGGGAAGCTAAGAATACTGGACAACACTATGGACTTTGGAAACTTCTCGATGATGAAAGAGAAAAACTTGATGACAGTTTCCCTCTCCTCAAATCTATTTGTGCAGTACATTCAACTGCAAATGCATATAAAGATTTGTGTAAGAGTGTGCCAGAAATTGACCATTTGGTAAAGAAGCTATCTGGAATTGCAACATTTTTCCATGCTTCAGCAAAGTGCACTACTGATTTAGAGAAAGTTGGGGCAAAAGAAGGACTAACAGTATGCCGCATCCCGAAATACTTTGAAGTCAGATGGTCAGAATTTACAGCTGCTCTTCTTGATGCAATTCTGTGCTCTTGGCAAGCCCTTGTGAAGTTTTTTGAGGAGCAGTATGATACTGAAGGGAATAAATTCTTGAAACTCCTAACAAATAAGGATAATATCCTTATGATGTGCTTTGTTGCTGATTTATTGTTCCTTCTTAAAGTTTTTCAAAAGAAGCTCCAACGTGATTCACTCACCATTGTAGATATAGAACCAGAAGCAGAAAAGTTTCAGAAGAGTCTTGATAAGTTGGGCACAAGATCTTTGTTAGGCGGTTGGGATTTCATTCAAAGAAAGTTGGCGTTCAAAGAAAGCATTCAAAGAAAGGTTTGATGAAGAAGAAATACATTTTGTGGCATTGAGCTTTGGGAGAAGAAAAGACGCCGTCCAGAAGCGAACTTATCTGTTACTGACCGCAGAGAGTTTAGTGCTGTACGAAATGAATCCATTTTGGCACTAAAAGAGTTTATGGACACGAGGCTTAAAGTTGACAAAAACACTTCAAAATCTTTCACCCCTTTTATCAAATTCACAGCAAATGAGGATGAAATAAGAGATGTTCATCAGTCTATTGCTCCTGACCTTAGCTTGGCAAATTTGGCTATTCAGTATCAAGAGTTGCAACAGTGTAATGAGATACCAAAAGGCAACCCCCACACAGTCCTGCAGAGCATTGTTGAAGCAGACGAGGAAGTTGGGGAACAGCATTATGCAAACGTGTATATCATGCTTTGTTGCATTCTGGTATGCAAGCCACATTTTGCTGTACAACAAGGTTAAATCAACTTGTAGATCATCCCTGAAACGTCAAACTATGAGTGACTACCTCTACATACATATAAATATGCCACCTTTATCGACTTTTGATCCACAACCTGCAACTTTGCAATGGATGGATGAAAAGGAACATAGGACAAGGAACACTCCAAAAGCAGGAGAGCAAGAGTGGTTCAGCCATGTTTTCCTGCAAGACAACAGTTTCGAAAATGAAGAGGCGAAGGAAGTAAAGAGAAAATTTTAAGTTAGTGTTTCATTGTATATTGTACATGCCTGTAGAAAAATAAATACTTAAGATTTATCACATGACACATCAACAAAGATTTGTCTACAAACTTGGAAAATGGAGTGAATAATATAACAGTTAATAGAGAAGAAACAAGGTTTGAAAGCCCTAATTTTTGCACTTTAATTTGTGCACTTTCACAGTGAGTGAAAGTATTGTTTTTTCCATATAATGATTGTTAATTTGTATGCTTAGCAGGTAATTTATCGCAAAGTGTAACATGAAGATCTTCTTTTGAAAATCTAAAATGTTTCAGAAAATGCGTTCTCATAATGCTGGAAAGCCATCTCAAAGACCTAAATTTCAAATTTTTTCTGGGGAAGCATGCCCCCGGATACCTAGAGCTGCGCTGTGCCTTCGGCACTCAATCCCAAAAATTTTCAAGGACAGCTCTATATTTTGCACACCCAATGTGCAGTGATAAAAAATTCTTAAAATTAGGTATGCGTTCAAGTACGACAAAAACGTAAAGCAATCGCATCAACTAGACTCAGAAACACAACAAATGCATTCTATTAACAAGTGAGATATATTTTTTACATATATTGTAAATATTTTTTGAATTATTTTGTTATTTAAAAATATTATAACGGTTAAATATTCAAAATATATAGGACGTTCAGAGATTGGGCCACCTGTGATGAAACAACTAAACAAGACAGTATATCATTTCAGTGTATTTTTAATATTGATTCCCTTTTTTATTATATAATTGAATTTTGCGAGAATTTGAAATCATTTTATTGCAAACTCAAAAAGTTTATCGATAAAGCCATTTAACTCATTAAGCAGCAATGCGCCCTGAGATTGGCAAGGGGGTAAGCGGCAATGCGCCCCAATGCGCCCTAACATGACTCCTTAACTTGCGGGCATGATATTTGAGCACGTGTTTATTGGGTTGCCTAGCAACGGATACGAAAATAGAACGTGAAATTCGAGCTTTTCAATGGTGTATCATGCAAGAAAATCGGCCAAAATCTCGCAAAGTTTTTCAAGTTTAAAACCTTAGTTTTTCAAAAATAATGAATAATGGCAATACTGTTGCAAAGAAGGGTTTTACAGCAAGTTTTAAAAGCGAAGAAAGAAGAGGTTTTTGAATCATCTACAACGAAAATTTGGCATGAAAGGAAACCGAATGTATTGACGTTTTGGGCCAAGTTCTTCTGTGAACCATGCGCGAGATTTTCAGCCAAAAAGATGAGGATTTCTCCAAACTTTATTAAAAATAGAAGTCGGAAATCACAAGAAAGATGAACACGGAACTCAAGTGAGCAGATACGATATTTTTAAGGGTATTTTTGAGTAGAAATATGCGATCAAACACTCACAAAATTCGATAAAGTTGGTTGAATCTAGTTTAAAGTTATCTTTTTGGACAAACTGTTTATGCAAATTTGGGCACAATTTCGACTGTTTTCGTAACCCCATTGTTGGTCTTCTTGTTCAAGTTGTTATTTTAGCTAACGTATGTTTCAAACGACACCAGATTAAATTACTGTGTGCGTACGTGCCCTTTTTGGCAAGAATACTTTGAGTATTAAATTACACTAAGTAAGTAGGATATTCCAAAATCACTGTTATATCTATTTTCATCAATTTAGTCTTAAAACGACAACTCGTTTCAGACATATTGTGGTTTAAAATAAGTATATTGAATTAGTGCGCTTGCTTGCCACGTGCGAATTTTCAAAAAGTCTGCACTTGAGTTCTAAAGCTTTTAAAACGCTTTTTCTATTGGGTTTTATATCCCCATAAAACTTTAAATGGATAAAGCAGATAATAATGTTGATGCAACCTCATTTTCTAGTAACTACACATTGAATCAGAAGGAAAAGTTATCAAAAATAGGTCGCGACGGTTGCTTGCAAAATGCCGCTTCTCTCTGAAATGGCTTCCTTTGCGGGAAGCCATGAAATTGAAGTCCTAACAAAAACATAGTTTAGCAGTTCTTTTGGGCCCATAGCTCACTTATTTATCATGAAATCGCTTCACTAGAACATTTTTAATAATGTCTATGGGAAACTTTGTTATTTTCTGAACTAAAAGTATATGGTTTTGAGGTGTTTATTTTATAAGATAGCATGCACGACAACATGGCACTAATGTGGTTTCTCATGTCCAGGGCAGCATCAACAAAACCCGGATCGGAACAGATTGACAAAACCCGGATCGGAACGGATTGACAAAACCCGGATCGGAACAGATCAGTGGAACAGATTGACAAAAATTTGAAATGACTTGTGTAAGTGTGGTTGCATAAAGAATATTAAAGATGAGACAATTAGAATGCAAAACAAAGCCATTTAAACGATTGTTTGAATTTGTTTGTGATTGCATGGGATATTTCATCCCGTTTGACAGGGCTGAAAATCTCATCCTGGGTGACATAAACTAGGATGAAAATTTCAACCCGGGCTGAAATTCTGCTCAGGTTGATTTTTTTTCCATGTAATCGTAAATTCATTTTATATTAACTTCCGGCTCCTGTGTAATCGGCCCTATCTGGGACAAACAGCACACATGTTAAATTGAGTTGATATTCTTTACTTAGTGCTGTACTGTAATATTGTACCTGCAATTTAATAAATCTCTGTAAAACATCGTGGAAAAATTCAACAGTTTTTTCGAAGACCTTAACATTTCGAAATCATCTTTGTACAATATATAAAAGAAAACAACATGGTACAAACACCAGTATATACATTCGTAATAGTATACCTGTTCTAGACATTTATATCATTACGCCTTCCTTGCATTGAAAACACTCAAATTTCAAGAAAAATGCGCTAAAATTGTTTTAAGAAACGTTGGTTATTTTGAAGTGCATATAATATTAATAAAAAAACATATGTCAGCAGAAGATGACATATTATTCCTCCGGCCGGCAAGCATCGCCAATAGCCGACCCGGCGTAGAAAATTACCTTACGTGCACGATAAGAACAAAATACCGATAACTATGGGTAACCTTTTTAGGGGGGAGGGCTCTCTAGAGAAACGTCCATATGACTTTTTTATGGACAAAATCGATACTCTTCCCTAAATACCTAACATATAAGCAAACATACGGATCAAAACAAAGGTCTTTAGTTTAATCCGGGTTTTGCGGGCAATCCGTTCCGATCCGGGTTTTGCGGGCAATCTGTTCCGATCCGAGTTTTGTCAATCCGATCCGAATCTTGTCAATCCGTTCCGATCCGGGTTTTGTTGATGCTGTGTCCAGGGCGCTTATATATAGGGCGGTGCAACGAGCTTATTGAGTGCTGATCGATGTGTGATGCAGAAGTGGACTGGCACGAGCATGCTTTTCACGAGAATTTGAGTAGGAGCGTGGTTTTCACCATCGTTATATTTTTGCTGTTTTTCCTCTAAATATGACATTTTGGAGGAACTTTTTAATGGATATTTGTGAAGTACTGTTTTATTAAACGTATGATGTCTTTCTTTGCTAAAATATTTTTTATAAACATCAAATTTATGGATATTAAATCGATTGCGTGATGGCTTCCATGGAGGGATAATTTCGCCGTGAAAGTATTGCATGTTAACTGCCTGTCCACGGCGAGAAATTTCAGGTATGTTGAATAAGATAATGCCACTGTAATATCTTAAACTTTTCATAAAAATCGAAGTTGATGGATTACAGATAAAATTGCTGGAACTTGTACATTCATGATGGGTTATTCTTAGCTTGTTTAGTCGCTAAATGGCAGCAAGAAAATCTAACAAATGTTTTGTTTTCATTGTGCTCTAATTCACTATAGTCGTATAAATGAGTTAATAGCGTTTTCCAAAGAAATTTTCATAATATGTATATCCCTTAAACATTTTTTCCTTTCTGGCTAAGTTTATAAAATAGACATTGCAGGAAAATATGCCCAGCGCATTCGGTGATGAAGACTTGCCCACATCTTGTAAATTTGTTTGTCAGAAAGGCAAGGTGATTCTCTGTTTATATTCATTTAAAAAAATCATATTCGAGTTGATGGTTTCTTTGAATTTATTTCAAAAGACACCCTTCCTACAAATTCCATGCAAGATCTGTATTTGATCGAACATAACTAGGTTATAGCGTAAACATACAATAACGTGAGCAAAGATGGCCTCTCAGATTTCGCGTAATTTTTCTGTCGTAAGCAAGTTCATCCATTGCGACTTTTTTTTACGAGTGAGTAAAAAATATTTTTAAAACGAAAAATGTCGGAATATTTTCGTAAAAGACAAGCAGGAGAGACATCTACGTCTTCTTGTAAGCGTAGTAGAGTATCTAGTGAAAGCCTAACAACAACAGGGGAAGTGACACCTAAGGGAAATGATAGAGAGCAACCTGTTGCTGATTTTGCAAATTGTTTTGTAAACACCGAGACAACATGAATTGAGTACTGTGGTAAAATTACTTTACAACCTGAAGAACTTCTTCTGTACTGCTTGGTAAAGATTTCGTCACCAGGTAGCAACATTAATTTGGCAAAGGGATACACTCCAGAAAAATATGTAGGTATTACACAAGCAGTTTACAATGTATATGGTATCCATTTTGACTGTGTCAACATGCAAAACTATTTCTATCGATCCATTAACAATCTGAAAAAGGGTCTTGGAAAATACAATGGATATTTGAGATGGAAATTTTATTCCAGTTACATCGAAAGAATTATTTCAACACACCAAACACTCCTTTTGAACCTGCTCCTAAATTCAGGATTTAGCAACATGCCTGGTAATTTCGATGACTTGCACAGAGATATAGAAAGTGAATGCCTGTCCAGTTTGGAGGAGGGTAAGCTGTCGCAAAGTCTTGCATACAAGATCAGTAAGGTCAGTGCTAACTGTGCAAATGGTTTCCAAAGTGGAAAGTTATCCCAGATGTTAAAGAATCAAAAATAAATCTCTATTATATGGGTAACAGTCCAATAAATGTACAGTATCAAGTAATTGTGTTATCAGATGGAAGTTATT